AAGAGGGAATGAAGCAATGAGTTTGGATTCAAGAATGGACATAAAAATATTGGCATAATTCGGAGCCATTTTGGTTCCCATTGCAGTGCCCTTAATTTGGAGGTAGTGTTTATTATTGAAAGTGAAATTATTGTGCGTCAGGATAAAGTTAGTTATGGAGATTATGACATTAATGTGTTAATGTGAAAACGAGTGCTGGGGTAAAAATGTAGCAAGGGCTTGGAGGCCTTCACCATGGGGGATATTGCTATACAAAGAGGATACGTCCAAAGTGACCAACAATGAATTGTTAGGAAGGATGGGGGTATTTTCGAGAATGTTTACAGGACTACATTTGTTGAGAGCTATGCTACACGATGTATTATGTCCTTTATTCGAACACTGTATTTACCTTTCTTTGATGATTTATATATATATATATATATCCACTCACAACAATGACAACAACAGTTAACTAAACATTGTACACATTTTTTAACTATTACAATTTAAAATGGCTGCCATTTTCCATTATTTTAGCTTTTTAGCATACATATTAATATAATAATAATCGACCTGTACAAAAACGTGTAATAGAGTTAGTTATATGCAATTGTCATATGCTATTATGATTATTACCATAATATATATATATAAGATATATATATATATATATCTATATATGATATATATATATATATATATCATATATAGATATATATATATCTTATATATATATTATGGTAATAATCATAATAGCATATGACAATTGCATATAACTAGCTCTATTACACGTTTTTGTACAGGTCGATTATTATTATATTAATATGTATGCTAAAAAGCTAAAATAATGGAAAATGGCAGCCATTTTAAATTGTAATAGTTAAAAAATGTGTACAATGTTTAGTTAACTGTTGTTGTCATTGTTGTGAGTGGATTTCCAATTGAATACTGCATTTTAATGACATAAATTTACAATATTTACAATATAAGTGACAATTTTAGGAAAAATTGGCGGCCATTTTGAAACTGCTGGCAACCCCCCCTTACGTATGAAGAAAAAAATGTTGCACATACTTTTTTGATTTATCTATGTCTACTCTACATCATATCAAATTTTTTTTTAAATATAGCAAAAAAAATGCAACCAACCAAAGTTTGCTGGACTATACCTTCAACGCTAAAGGAACACGAGGATTGACCTGGTTGCTTGATTTCTTTAAACACTGAGCATCGTTATTTAGGAAGATGCTTACAAGCCTTTAAAGAGTCAAAGAATTAGGGGTTTTTAGCAAGTGATTTCGATATTCACATTATATGCCTGACCAAAGGGAATTATAACAAATATAGCACACAGCCTTTAATTTATAGTACCTACAGTACATGTAGATTTTTCCTATTTATTATATGCTAGCTAATAAATTTGTCCTTATTGGAAACAGTATTGACAGACAGACCGATCCTGTCAAGTAGTGAAGTAACTTCCGGGAGATATATTTGAATGAGCTTTAAACAAATTTAATTTTATTTTTGTGCGTGCGATGGATCAAGTGCAATACACAATATACTGGTCGTATTTGGAGGCAGTTGTCACTTTTTTGCAGGATTTACAAGACCAGTTTTTCTGGGGGTATTTTTGGGCGTACATCTGTAGAATCTGAATCTGGTTGTTGATCGGGCTGGGGAGGTGTATAAGGTGTTAAAGATTAAATCCGGCAATATTAATGGAGAAAAAAAGGGGAGACAATTGGTCAGTTCATGTGTCGTTCAAATGATATTAGAGTCAAAGTTCGATTATGTAAATGATGATGTAAATAAAAATTATATAGCTCTAGTGCCATTACAGTATCTTTCACATGAATTTCAATAAAATATAATTATCCTCAATGAAATGGAAGAGTCCAACTGAATAATCACGACTTCTGTTATTATTGTTCATAGACAATCATTGTTTTTTATACAGATATTTTGCCTTATCTCTATAGATGTAACACCTCACTGCACCCGAGGAATCCAACAGACAATAAATATAAGCCCCTATATAAATTACTACAGGTACCAGTCTTTGATTTTACATAGTTTACCTGACTATACGGCTCCACCGACTACGCTGCATTCAATAGCAAATCAGTGGCAGCGAGAGGATATCATGTGTTCATCAACCAACTCTACTAATTCAAAAGGATGGCCTGAACACTTACTGGACATTTATACTGGCTACCAGAAATCACAGGTTTCTTTCAATGTTTGATTATTTTAGTAGTGAATCATAATATATACTATATATACCGGTAATAATGCTAAATTATTCTTTTAGAAGTTCTGTTTTGTTCATATTCAAAAAATTAAGAGCATGCTTGCGACTAATGCAAGGAACTTCGCGGCATTACGTCGTGTTGAGGTCTATGTTGACTCGAAAGAGAGGATAAGTCAAATTATATTCAGTAGACTTTATGCAGTTTCTTGTTATCCTTTATGGTACATCACCATCAATCGTATACATAAGTGTTATTTTCAGTCTCTCTTTTTGTTTTTTTGGTTTTTTTTTTGTCTTTTCTATACGACTCTTTTCTGATTGTAAATACTTTCCTATTTTCTAAGTAATCTTCTGATCTCCTTTATTTATTTATTTATTTATTCTGGTTTATTATTAAAACATTTTGATTTTGCAGCATAGACTGAATAACATCAACATTTACACCAGTAAAACAGTACAATAGGAAAATAGAAGCACAAAAAATGATTAATAACAATTAAAACGATCAGAAAACAGCCCAACATCAATTAAGCTGAAATCACACCTAATTTGCAATTATGTATCATTAATTACATTTGAGTTGAACAAGTTAATTATATCATGGAGGTATTATAATAATAATACCTCCATGATTATATATGCAATGGTTGATTTACGGAATCGTTCGGTACGAAAACTTTATCATTGGAGCATAGCGAGCGCCCAGTGGCAAGTCTACGATTGACAGAAAATAAATGATTAAGGTTCTGAAGGGCATTCCTTCTGAACTTACAAACAATTGAATGACGTCGAGAATCAAGTCTGTCCAATTAAGTTTCTCAAGGGCAGTGGTATAGGAAGTATAAAGCTGACCAAGAATCAAAGCACGTTTTTGTACTCTTTCAACTTCAGCTGATTGTGTTGCAGAATGTGTTGATTGTGTTGGAAGAATGCCAAACAGGACATGCGTATTCAACTATAGAGCAAGGGAAATCCAAATTTAAGTGATTGAGCATGAATAGTGTACGACTAGCTCTTGTGAAACAATTTATTCTACATGAGTGACCCATTTAAGATCATTTTGCACGGTCACTCCTAGTAGCTTCAGTTTAGAATTATAAATGCTTATCGGTTGAAAATTAGGCAATGTCTTACTGAATGCAAAATTCATAGTTTTGCATTTACTGGGGTTAAGTTTCATGTTGTTAACATTACTAAACTCAACAATTTGATCAACATGGGTTTGCAGCAACATTCAAAACGGACACTCCAGCTATAGTCAATCATCCATGAATTTCCATGGCTGCTGGATGTGCACAAGACCAGGGGTGGCGCCAGGATTTGCCCGAAGACAAGATCCCCGCCTGGGGGGAGGGGGGATGATGCCCCGACAAGGGGTAAAATTTCTCCGACGAAAGCAAAGTGGGCGTGGTCGAGCTTCGATTTAAAAGGTTTCGAATTTTTTTCTCCCCGACGAATTGTGCTTTTTCTTCCTGACGAATTGTGCTTTTTCTCCCCGACGGGGGAGGGGGAGGAGCCTTCCCCCACCCTGCTAGCGCCACCCCTACACAAGACCGAATCATTGACTATAACCTGGAAGATAGTTTGCCCCAGTTTATTCAACTGGGGGACAACACAACTAAAACTTCTCAAGTCAGAAAGCATACCCATATACATAACGCTCCGATAGCGTTCAGCACACACACAGTGGCTACCACCAGTTTGACTGAGTCTGACTGAGCTTAGCTGCTCTCCCTGTAGGACTGGTATCATACTCTTTACAAAAAAAAATATATGAGCATTCTATTAAGCGATGAACACTTCATTATTATCATTATATTTTGAGTTGGTTTTGGAGTCCGAGTTGTATTATATGGTTTGAGTTTGGTGATTTTGGTCTCACTTTGTTTTGATTCTAGTTGCTGAGTTGTTTTTTGCGACTGGTATTGTTATCTTACAAACTGATTGTTTTCCTTCTGACCCTACTTTTTTTGTGGTCAAACTGTAGATTTTATTTGTGACAACCAACCTTGAATTATATGATCTACTTGATAATTGTGATGGCGGGATGACTGTATTTGAAATAGCCTGCAAGAAGAACATCAATTTGGACGCAATAGAAAGAATTCTGGATCTTGCTGCTGGATTGAAACTTATTAAAAAAGATGCTGGATCTGACCCTGGTAAGTAAAGAGGCAATTTCAAGGTTATAGAGTTGTTTGTGTTGAGTGAAGAGGTTGCATTTGGGTACAATGTGGTTGTGGCAGAGCAAGTTAAGTATTTTGGTGGGTTAAACTATGTGAAGTACCTATGTGAGGTAAATAGATGTTTGCAATGAGTTACAGCTGTATATTAACGTGGAGTATTAGATTTTTCAACTTCAGGTTTTCGTACATTGGGGAGAGATGGAAGTGATGAGTAAGTGGACGTATGAGTACATACAATCAGTTTGAATTTTCTTACAGCAGTCTACAGCAATATCCCAGAGGTAGCAAACGCCCTACAGGCACATAAGCCGAATAACATGGTAGCTGCGGTGCTTTATGCTTCACGCATCCAATACCCTTTATTCCAGCAGTTGATGACTGTTATCAAGGATGGAAATAATACACAGGCTTACAAGGATGCTTTTGGATTTGAGGTGAGCAGTCTTCACTCCTTCATCCACGTCTGTGGCACTCAAACTTTTAGACCAGCTGTCACCAGACTTTTGATCCGTTTCGTATCCAATCAGACTACCGAAATCCAGTTTGCCGAAGGCCAGATTGCTTGCAGAAACCCAGTTTGCCGAATGTCAGAAAACTCATGAAACTAAGTTTGCCGAATATCCACCAACTTTGATAAATAAATGTAAACTGTGAAGTAAAATAATCATACTGTATATAGATGTTTAATAGTATGCTTTACGTATGCTTTGCGCTTTAAATGTGTATTGCAGTTTTTTAGATAAAATTTATTATGTACCGGTATATGCTATTTTAGGTCTAATAATGTATGTATTTATGTATATTCTGTGCAGTTGTTAATTCTTATGCATGCTGTCAAATCGACATTCGGCAAAAGGGTTTGACAACGTGGGATTCAGCAGACTGAGTTTCACAATTCATAATTCGGCAATTTGCATTCGGCAAAATAGATTTTGGCAAAGGGGAGTCAGCAATCTAAATTTCGGCAAACTTGATTCCCGTAATCGGATCTAGATCTTTTTGTCAAACTAAACAATCTGTATCGGCTACAATAATATAATAGTAAAATTCATGGAGCAAAGGTGTATAGTTGTCGTAACTTTGAATAATACAAACGTTTTCGGGCACCACTCTTAAAGAAAATGATATTGAAAGAGCTAAACTCTAAACTGTCTTGTGGTAATGCTGAAAATATATATAAATACATTTTAAACGATAAAGAAGAGGAATCTGCGAGTGTAAAAAAATAGGTGCTTCAACCGGGATTCGAACCCGGGACCTGATGCAGACTCCTTAACCAACTAGGCCATTGAGGTTTTGTTGAGAATTTTAATCCTATTCCGATGCGTACTAGACAGCACTAGTCTTTGATGCATGTCAAATAACAGACCGAGATCAATATGATAGGCCTACGCCCTTCTTATCAGCAAATGGCGACAAGACGAGATGGCCGAACTACACACACACACAGTCATGGCCCATCGTACTTAAATGTATTATTATTGGTGTTGTTGTTGACGTCATTGTGAATAGAATGTTCGCGAATGTGTGAATTAATGTAGGTATGGGGATGGTGATTCATCGGTAATGTCGTTGAGTCCGCTATACAGCCTGCCGCCGTTGACGAAACGTCTCCAGGTCTTCAGAATCCTTTATATTAGCCAGGTCGCTTTACCCTTGCTTGCATGCAATAGTGGAGCTGTCTCTTATACACATCTAGATGTGTATAAGAGACAGTATATACTGTGTACATATAACTTGAAAAAAGCGAACCTGCTTTTTTAGCTAAACCACCGCTCCACTATGTGTGAGCGTTTCAGTCAGGTGTGTAAGAGAAAGTGCACTTGTTTTTTTTTTGTTTATACTCTATAAATATAAACTTAGTGTCTGGTAATGGTGCATTGCATCAAAATTAAACGATATGATACACTTTCTTTTATCATTGTATTTCTAAAACAGGTTACCTCTGAGACGTATGGTTCGTTGTACAGTAGTGATCCAGACTATACAGCAAATTTCATCCAATTTATGCATGATTTGTCATCTATAACGGCACCAGGTGTTGCCAAATCATTTGATATTTCACCTTTCAGAAGAATATGTGACTTAGGAGGTAACTTATGGAGTTTTGAAATTTTAATCCTAAGGTCTTAATAGTGTCCTATAATATTTGGTGTTTGAATGCCTCATTAATTGAATCTAAATAAATAATTAGTTTTGATTAGACCTAATTATTAATAATATTGTGTAATAATTCATCTTTATTTATTAACAGCTAATGAAGATCAATTACATAGGCCCATGGCCCGAAGTATAAACAAACATTTACTATACAATTATGATAAAGTATAATGCTGTATAAAATGCATATGTTCGTATAAGTTATTAGTATTGAGTAATAATTCATCTTTAACAGTTAATGAAGATCGGTTGCAATATCCGGCTAAATATTACTTGTTCCAGATATCTAGGACATTTATAATCACAAACATAGGCCCATGGCCCGGAGTATAAACAAATCAACTTGTACTATACAATTACATGTTTGATCATCTGTGTCTGTAGTCAACTGTACTGCCTAATTATTTCATTGCTAGCTGTTGGCTCTGATTTCATGTTGACATCATCTTGCATCTTGTAACATCTGTGTAACTCTTAATGTTTAGTGCAGGTTTGAAAATACAGAATATTAGTAGGGTCCTTAGTCTGGATTGAGATCAAATAAATGATGATGTTATTTCATGTTAACTTCCCTTACAGGTGGTTCAGGGGCGATAGCATACGCCTTAGCCTCCGAGTATCCAAATACTTCAGTAGCAGTTTTTGATCTACCCTCTGTCATAGAGAGAGCACAGAATATCAGACCTGAACATTCCAAAGTGCTGAAAGTAGAATTTGTTGCTGGAGATTTTTTTAAAGACGAATTTCCTCAGGCCAACTTGTACATCTTGGCAAGAATTGTTCACAATTGGGAAGAAGATAAAGTTCATCAACTTTTAAAAAAGTCGTTTAATTCGTTGGAATCGGGTAAGTTTTTTGACAGGGTACGCCCTAGCCTGGGTTCCATGCCCTAATTTTGAGTTACTCACTCTTTATTGCACTTAGTGCGCGCCATACCTAATTTAATTGGCGTCCCATACTCGGTTTCTTTTTTTTTTCGGATTTCTTATTCCGACCATAGAGATATGATTAATAGCTCTATGATTCCGACTCTAAATTAACTTTTTCGTTGGTTGCGCTGTCCGGAATGAGAAAAATAATAAAAATAAGGTATGCCCTGAAGCTGGTTTTCCACGAGACAAATTTATTCGCGCGAATCAAATCGTCGGTTTGCAAAGCGAAAAATGTGCAACCAATCAGAGCTCAGGAAGCGAACCGACGTTCTGATTCGCGCGAATAAATTCGCCTAGTGGCATGAAAACCGGCTTAAAGGCAGTAACAGAACTTATACTGAGTAAAAACAAAATCATGCTTCTGTTGTCTTTCTGGTAATCAATCATACTTAAGCCGATAAAGCCGACGACGATGACGGCTGTGGTGACAACAATAACAATATATTTTGATGGATGGATATAATATTTCTTTTGAAAATGATTAAATTTCAAAATAGGACAATGCTTACCAGGAGTATTTTTCTGTTTTATTGCTATAGGAGGTGCTGTGTTGATAGTAGAACGATTGTTAAATGAGACTAAAACTGGTCCACTATCGACACTTGTATCTAACGTTGCGATGCTTACTTCCATGACCGGAAAAGAAAGGACAGAGAAAGAGTACCGGCAACTTTTAGAGCAGCACGGGTTTGTAGACTTTCGATGCCATGTTGTCGTGGGGGAAAGCAGGCCATTGCATGCGATGTTGGCTTACAAACAATAAAGTAACCTAATTTTTTTTGACCGAAAATCCCATCAATATATAAATATAACATACGAGACAATTAATGTATACTGTAAAACTAGAGTGGATGAGTGGGGTAATATATATATACCGTACATCATAACACGTTTTTTTTTTTTATTCCTTTTTTTTTTTGCCTGTTTGAAATGAAGAATAGGACCACGGAAAGCGAAAAATATACGTTTTTAAAAATGGGTAAAATTTCAAGTCCAGACTAAACAAATCTTCCTGGTATAAATATAGTTGAGGTGTGTGTGATTTAGTCATAGATTGTTTTAAGAATACAAAATGAGATAATTTTGAGGTTTTAGTCTGAACTAAACTGTGTACTGCTAAAGTTTGTTTTAAGAATACCTGGGTATGTCTGTATTAAAGAATGGTAGTTGGTGGAATGAACATGAATCAAAGATATAGCATGTCCTCCTCACTGATAATGAAAAAGACCTTAAGTGTCTAAAATACCGAAAATGAAATGCTAGTTAAACGTGTGTTCAATATGTGTCATAGTAATTAGCAAACAGGATAATGCTCCATAATCAATATCCAACTTAACAGAAAACACCTTGGACAAGTTTTAAGTACTGATATACAGGACAAATTACTGGTGGTGGCAGAGGTGAATGTGGAGTAATAACAGAAAGGACCATTTACTTTCAATAAAATGCATACCGGTACTCAGCAATGGAATATAATGATGGTCTCACTATGTGAACAATTAAATGAATCTTAGTAATAACATGCACTGCAGTATAGCAAATCTGCAGTATTTGTCAGAGAATCTTTTTTTGGTTATTCACTGATAATATAAGAAAATGAACAATACCGTCAATTATAGAAGTGAAGAATAGGACCTGATTTGAGACCAGTTGTAGAAGCCCATTGTTAAATCAGAGGTAAACACAACTATTAGGCTCATCTGCATTATGTCTAATGGGTTTTATCGTCAATAATATTTGTACTTAATTTTATATGATAATAAAAAGTTAGTGAACCACCAAAGAACAGTGTTTATAAAAATACCTTAATAGCATTAGTTAATAGCATTCTTTACTTTACAAGGGTAATAAAAAGTTGGTGTACCAAAAGACTTCTCATAAAAAAAATTCTTTACAGGGGTAGTAAAAAGTTGGTGTATCAAAAGACTTCTCATAAAAAAAAAACTCTTTACAGGGGTAGTAAAAAGTTGGTGTACCAAAAGACTACCGAAAATTTTCGGTAGTCCTCATGCGTACTGTGTACATACGGAAAACGTTATGTTTTTTTTAAATTCGATACTCGAATTTTATAGTGATCAATTACATTGATAAAGCGACCCGCCAAACTTTACTAATGACTCCACAAGTTTTGGGTGCCTGTGTACTAGAGTACAATTAAAAGTATAATAAATATTCTCGGCCCACTCCTATCCTTAATTTATGGCAACGACATGGAATCTGCCTTAGACTGTAAATTAATGCTATATGCTGATGATGCAGCACTTACGGTATCTAAAAAAGATGTTGCGTTAATCGAACCTAAATTAAGTAATGAACTCCAGTCACTAAATCAATGGCTAATTGATAATAAGTTAACTTTAAATTTTGATAAGACTGAATCAATCCTTTTTGGTACAAGATATGTGTAAAAAACAATCCAATTGTATGGACATTACCTGTAATGATGTCTATTAAATCAAAATCATCCGTTAAATACCTGGGTCTTGATCTTGAAAGTGCACTGTGCTTTTAAGTTTTTATATAGAATAGAAAATTGTTCACGCCATATGCCCTTAAACTCCTCAGATCTTCTTTGACTCAATAATGCCACTATCATTATGGATGTTGTATTTGGTATTCTGGCCTTGATAAAGCAACCAAAATTAAACTTCAGACATCCCAAAATAAAATTATTAGATGTATCTTATGTTTCAGACCTCGTGCACTGGTTATAATGAATTCTCTAAATTAAATTGTTTGCCAATTGATCTCAGGGTTAAGGAACGAAAAGTGTATCATACAAGATTATTAACTTTCTCCTGGTTATTTAAATTCATGTATCACTATGGTTAGCCAAACACATAATTACAATACCAGATTTGCTACGACAGTATTTCATTAAAAGTTCCTTAGTCTAAGGCCGCTTCACATTCATTGAAACTGGGATTATATGAATGGAATCGTTTGCCATTTACTGTTCAAAGTGCAACTTCCATCTACGCTCTATAAAAATGAACTGAAGCTTATAACGAAATTTTAAAAATGAGGGATCATATAACTTAAATTTTTAATTGATTTTTTATGCTTGTTATTCATTAGGCCTTCTTATTTTGTCCTGTTTTTTCTGTTTCTGATTGTTTTTACGTAAGGACCACAACGGAAATAAGTTGCCAATTTCGGTACTTTATTGTGTTTTTATCTTTTGAATATAATGTTTCTTGTCTTGTTTTATGTATATATTCAGAAAAAAGAAACAAAATAAAAAATAAATAATTTGAAATTGCCGAAAAAGGCCTTTAGCGGTAATTGAGTTTCACGCAAATGTATAATGATTGCTTTCAACTCTGCGGAGATATCTTTGACCCGTGAGATCAACTTTTAAAATATAATTTGGCCCTTCAAACAATGTATTCCAATTCCAAGGCGCTAAAAAAACTCCAATTTCCCACAAATGCCTTAATTATTAGTAAAATGTAGGAAATTAACTCAAAATTTTTGAAATTTGAATTTTAAAAATGTATTATTAAAATGTATTAGCGTGCCACTTCAGGATATCCGATGTGCTAAATCATCAAAATCGTCCTCAAACATGGAGGGGATGATAGATGAACCCCCGCTCTCCTCTAAATCCTTCCTACAGGCTTGAATTCCCATATTCTTGTGCATAGACCCTTAAACTGGACGGTAATCAATTTATCAATCAATTGGGAATAAAATGTTCTGATCTGTATTTTATTGGTTAATTATTTATTCTTTTAAATAAACAATTACATAGGCCTATACATTGATAACTAGTACTACTGTCACTGGGCTTCAAATGCTCATCGATTACGCAAACAAGTATCACAAATCACGATCTTTGTTTCAATCCAGCTAAAATTGATTGTATCATCTTCGGTAAACAGTTTCTTACACCCACACCCTGCTGGTTTTTGAATAATTGCACTCTCAACAATTCGGATTCTATAACTTACTTAGGCGTTGAATTTTCCTGTAGTCTTAAACCAGATTTACCCGTGAAAAAAAGAATCCGAAATGTGAGCGTGCATTTTATTCATTACAGGGCGTTGATTTATGCAAAAACTTACCTCTACTGCTGTTAAATCTCATGTTTTGAATACTAATCTGTCGCCAATTCTTTCCTATGGCTGTCAGTCTCTAAGACTTTACGTAGTTAAGTTCGATAAATTTCAAAGTAAACTGCTAAAATCATGTTTGGGCCTTCCAAAATATTGCAGGTCGTCAGACTTACTAATTGCACTTGGTGTCTTAAAGATTAAATATCAGATTAATGCTATGGAGTTTAACTTGCTTTTTCAGATTTTAAATTGGTAGTTTTCGCCGCACGACGTTAACCTTAACGTTAACGGATGACGTCATAATTTATTCACCTTGCGTTGCGGTTTACGTTAATTCAAGGATTTTACGTGCTCGACATACGTTAGTTACGGGTTTGCGCATGCATTTCGATTTGTTTACAAAAAGGGGCGGAGCTATCGCGTTGCACATTGAATTCGAAGTGCTAGTAAAATTTTCCGTCTTTGTTTAGTGGTTGTTTGGCTAATGCGGAAGTAGAGTATTGCTTAGTTTGTGGATAATGTTATTGGAATGTTAATGGAAGGTGGAACATTTTTTTGTTGTTGAATGTAAACAGTGTAGTAATGGGATGATTAAATGCTTTAAATTTATATAATTAGGAATAAACATATTTTATATTTGAGATTTCAAGGCAGCCGCAGGCGAAATAAAAATAAAGAAAAACTTTTATATTTTTCCGAGATTACGATTTTTTCGTGGTGGCAGGTGTGCTAATTGGCCAAAAATTAAATTTATTCTTATTCGAAATCATCATTATTGGCAGGCGGTGGGTTTGCTAAACAAGATATAAAAAAATCTCGCCTTATTAATTAGAAGTGAAATCATTGCAAGTCTACATATTGGGATTTCATAAATTAAATAAAAAGAAACAAAAATTGCTTAGTTTCCTTATTGCATAATTTAATGTATCCAAATTTATATCATAGTGAAATACTGTAATTAAATGTTTTCTATGGTCTACAACTTTCCTTGTTGCCTGTTTAACAGTTCTGAAAATTTGGGTGAATATAAATCTACCAAAAACAAAACATTTCTAATAATCAACAATCAATTAATAATTGGCTTCCTATATTTAGTGCACATCATCAATTCAAATTCCAAACAAACTTCAGTATATCTGTTCATTAATCATACAACTTCACTAAAGGAAATAAAAATATATAATTTATACAGTATATGTATTTCTATTAAAATATCATTTAATTTACATACAGGTGTATGGGCCAATTCTTTGGTTCGTTGACGAGGGAGATTGATACAAACAAAGACAATTCTACGATAATGTTGGATAGTCTAATGGGCCTACGTTTAGAATCCCACTTGATACCTATAGGCAAATTAATTGACCATTAGTTCAACCAGTAAAATTTTAATTGTTTAATTTTTTAAATATAATAATAAACATGTTCAGCTGCAACATTGAAAGCAAAACGATGACAAGCCTAAAACCGGCTTTTAACCTCACAACAGAAATCATATAATAAATAATAACATATATTATAATTTAATATATTTGGTAAATTTTATGTGCTGTTCAGATGCAATTATCTGCATACAAAATATCTTGCACTTTAATGGATATACAGTGTTCTCATAAAATAATGTACACAATTAAGTAATTTTACATATACATTTTAAACCAACCAGTACCAGTACATTCTAAATAAGGCACTTAACTGCATATACTAAAGCATGGCAACCAATCAACAATAAACAATGCATGTTGTCATTCTATAGTTAAATAACCTATTATACAATAAAATATCCAATTAAAATAATTACATTGCAACATACACTGAACTACAGTAGGTTTTTTGACAATAACAGTGGCGGATCAAGGAATTCGAAAAAAGAGGGGCCCAGCAAGGGGGGTTTTCACAGATAGTGTCCACCCAGCTCAGCACCACTATAGCAGCTGGGGCCGAGGACAAGAAAATTTATGATGGCTCTAGAGGGCCAGAAATGGCACTCCAAGACTTAAATTTGATTATAATTTTTTTTTTTTTCATTTTTTATTCTCATAATTTTGAAAAATTTAGGGGAACCCGCCACTCAATAATATTGCAAAAGACATTCACTCAAGATAAAGGATCAGAGCAAGTAGTTTTTGATGACATGCTGGATTTTCCGCCGGCAAACAGGACATGGTTTTCCGTGCCGTCTCAATTTCTTAGCGCAAGAATAACAGCATACCTGATGTCCACTTTTCCCATGTATTATACTTGCGTTCTTAGTCCTACTTTCACAAAGCATGCACAAGTCGTTTGGACTAACAGCTTTTTTAACTGAGGGGGCTTCCTCTGTGCTCACAGGACATAATGACGTCTTGCCTATTCCTCCGTCATCGCTAGGTGTATGTCTTCCAACAGAAAAAAACTCTGAGTTCCCAGGCTCAAGACGTGAATTGCTTGCACTACCTACAGGAGTAGGCTCTCGTCGACTAAATCTTGACTGCTTTCCTTTAAGTACACGCACAGTACTTGGTGCACTTTCCGGGTCCTCTAACAGGACAGTATCTGATGAACTAATAGGGGATTTCGGGCGAGTTCCTATCCCAGCTTCATCCTCCCCTTCTTCGTCAACGTTGGTTTTAGCTTTGTCATCATCACTGCTGCTTGGGCCCTTCTCTAAACCATCACAGTTGTCATTAGACACGAGTAGATTATTCCGAATGCTTTCATGAGGGAGTCGCATATCACCTGAAGAAAATACATATGAAATTAATTAGAAAACACCTTTATCTTTAAATATTATGTAAAAGTATTGAAATAACTATTGGAAATTGAGAAAAATCATAGCCGTCGGATGCATTTTAAAAGTTGTCCGGGCATTATAAAAGTGTGGGTGGGGGATGGTTATATTTAGTGGGGTCTGAGTGCATATCCACCCCAACAACCCCCATGGTGAACAACCTTTTGTGGCTACTCCTTCCTCAAGGGGCAGCCACAAAGATTTAAAAGCAGTGGCGGATCTAGGAAGTTGAAATAGAGGGGGCTGGAGAGGGACTTTCACAGGTGGAGGGTATACTACCTCACCAGCACCACCATGGTTGGGGCTGAGGTAAAAAAATTTATGATTAAAGCACCATGGATGAAAAAAATGGTTTTTAAAAAATTGTCGCTAAACTGTTGCTACAGTGTTTTTACTGCAATCACTACACTACAAAGCTGTCCCTGATGCACTCAGGCCAGGTGTTTCGATTTATCACACCACAGCATTAGTGTGTTGCAATTTTATGGAAAACAGGTTTTCAACTTACTCGGTGCTGAGAGAGATCTACTGAGACTGCGTCGTTGTGACATCAACCGTTCCATTAAAGTTAACCGTTTTTCATCTGCCAACCAACCTTTACGCAAAGCCCAGCACCCCATGCAGTAGCCATGGATTGGTGGGTTGGTGGTATTGCATTCATTACACTCCCATTTATCCTACATGACAAACAGAAAGAGTGTAATATTGGACCCTTGGTCAGCCCAATTATTAAAAACCTATAAATGTTAATCCAGGCACTCATTGTGTCTGACGGTTGTCGGTCGATGCAATTCTATACAGAATGCCACAACAAGTGCGCAATAGATCGATTCGAATGATGATCCGTTCAGACAGCCACCGACAATAAGTAAACGGTGTTCCGTCGTCTAGCGCTCAGAGGGAGTGGAGTAGAATTCGTTGGCTGATAGTCATACGGCGTAGTAAGTGCCGGGCTTTAGAAACCAATGAATACATTACTAATGCAGATCTTTAAACACACCCAGAGGTGACGGAACAAGGGGTGCTGTGTTATATGGAGAGTAATGTGTGAAATGGTCTGCAGTCAGTTGGTTGTTAACATGCACCAGTGATGTTGGAGTCACAGCAGTACAGTATTATGTAGCCCTAATGCATGAATAAAGTTCGGGGTTTGTCGGGTAGTTATGATTATTGTACATTTTAAGTGCTCCCTAAATGCATAAGTGTAAGCTAAATTACGGTGATTAATTTAATCAGCGAAGATATGGAGACAATTATTTTGAAGCTCCCTCTTTCCAAGAGGGAATGCATATGCTTTGTGAAAATGAGTACGCCGCGGTACTCATTTTCACAAAGAAACACACACAACTGGTTAGCTAACAATATGCCAATGTAATTACACCTGGGAAGGAAGGTTTTTTTTTTAAAGTTTTTATTAAATTAAGTACTGAAGTTGAATTAAAATTATTAGGGACTATTGCACAATAAAGGGAGGACATTTAGCTTTCTGAAAAAAAAAATTGTCATTAATACATCACCAATTGGCCTCGCAACTCAGTATTCAAAAAGGTCTTAGGTTTAAATCTTGAAGGAGACAAACAATTTTCTTACATTTACTATCATCTACATTTCAGTGCCTGTAAACTCTTTTCAGATTACTAGAGAACTTACTCGTTCTGATATTTCTGTATCAATACTATCCGTATCACTATCCACATCTCCGAATATCGACTCATTTTCTTCTACTTCAACCTCAAATATTGCCTGAAAATTCAAAAATGTTTTGCAGATAGAGAAATTCAAATATATGGCATATTTTTATCACTTAAATGATAAAATCATGATTGAGGCAGCAGCAGTTCTTTGTTTATTTGCACAAATACACAGAGAAGTGGTTTGACGCAGGAGGAACATTTTGGTTACCCCACTGTGAGATCTGAACCTATTTGTATTTGTTCTATGATGTAGAGTAATAGGCTAGTGGACTAAAGAGTATAATTAAGGCAGACTTAAGCATCCAGAAGTATGAGTAAATCACAATTTAAATCCTCCGCTGTGCACTTTACTTGTGCTCCTTCTCTCCACCCAAAAGAGTATATGGGTACCTGGTGAGGTTGCCTGTAACTTTGTCGACACAGCAGCAACATTTAAGAATGTGGACACAATGATCAGGAATTTAAAAAGTGCTTCATAACAAAAAGGAAAAGTGCTATAATATAAACTCACAACAAAATAACAATTAAAATGTTCCACCTCAATGTCTTACCTCTGTGAGAGCACTGTCTACAGAACTTTCAACACTTCTGTAGCTTTCACTGGATATTTCTGATTCAATTTCAAATTCTAGTTGGTCTTCTTCCAGAAACCAAAGATCATCAGAAGAATTTGCTACCACAGCTGTTGCTTTATCCTGTCAAAAAAAAAATTGCATTAGAATAACACATTAAAAGGACCTGTTTTATAAGTATAGGAAATTGTTATTTATTTACTGTGATTATTTATGATGACTTTTAAGGCCAAGTCAGACTCTGTCGCACGACTCATCCTAATGCGATTTGTTGTCGCATTGAGTTGGTGTGAGTTAAACGCTGACGTGAAAATTTTGCATCGGGGCAGTGAGTCATAGAATATTAAACATGTAATGATGATTAGACGATGCTGGTGGTAATAATGAAATGAGTAATAATAATGATTCATGGTAAGTTTAAGTGTATTTAATTATCAACATTTTATATACCTGCTGTCTCTTATACACATCTTTTTTTTTTAAAAGTTTTTATTAAATTAAGTACTGAACCGGAGGGCGTACGTAAATCGGGGGATTCGTAAAATAGAGTTTGGGTTAAATTTGTGGTAACCTTTGACCTAAAATGTACGTAACGCTCATTAAACGTATGTATGAACGAACGATGTTACCTAGGCTATACCTTGCCTCTAGCTAGGCCTACGAATAAAACGATCCAAAACAACCATTTGTTTAGTGTTTTTATTCATCACTTTATGATGTCATAATAAAGTGTTCAAATAAAACCATGTGTCTAGTGTATTAATTCATCACTTTATATCTTTTATTTAACTAAAGAACATGAAAATGTTGTAAGATTACCTATACGACAAAGGTATAACTTGGGAATTCCCCTTCATGCCTATTCTAAACAACAGAGCTGTGGTGTTGTCTGGGCCTGTTAAGACAAACTAAAACCATGTGCGCTGCACTGGGCGAGCCAACCAATTAGCGTTTGTGTACGTGAGACAGCAGCCATGTGCAATGCACTGGGCGAGCCAACCAATTAGCGTTTATGTACGAAAATATGTCTACCCAGCTTCGTGTAAAAAAATTCGACCAGACGAGATTTTCCATGGTTTTTAGCACCATCGGTAGTTGTTTATCTCACTCAATTCACATGGTTTTAGATTACAACAACCCGATATTAGACTCAATCAACATTGCTGTTTAATGAAAATACGTTGCATTATGGTTTGTTTATTGTTATAGTTTATTGTTATAGTCTTTTTACTTATGGTTGCTCTGAAAAGAGCTGTTTGTTTTGAATATTTTCGGGTTTTTGATGACGTCATCGTCGATACGAGGCGTACGTAAAACCGAGGGTTCGTATAACTGGGGTACGTAAAAACGAGGTTCTACTGTATTGTTTTATTTTATAAGTATTTTTTGATGAATAATTTTAAAACTAAATTATTGAATCCTGACTCAGTAGTCAGAATACAAACACATCTCCACATCAGCACAAATTATTCCTTTACAAAACAAATCTAAATTTGAATTTATTGACGAAGAACTTTGGGAGATAAAAAAAATATAAAATTTCACATCGAAGGGGGCCTAGGCCGAATCCCCTAGGCGCCTCGCCGCGTTCAGTCACCCATTCCCCACTACGCACTGTACAGTGAATAGCCTAACCTACCTCCCGATGTAAAATCCATAATTAATCATTTTCTGCCTAGCCGTCCAATGTCGTGCGAAAATTGCGTATTGTGTATTTAAAAAATCTAGAAGATTTCAAAAAAATATATGAAAAAATACGAAAAATTACGATAATATAGGCCGACTTGGTATCAAAATTTTCCTTATTTTCTCATCTGTTTCAACGTGTAGAGGGCACAGGTCCCCGAAAAACAGAAAGTTGAAAAGTTCAACGGTCATGTTCAGGGTTCGTTTTTCATTTTTGTAAACACACAAGATGGCGTCAAGCGTAATTGATAGCACATGCTTTGCTTTCAGCCACAAAAAATCAATTTTACGAGGAAATATGTTGATATAATAACCAAATCTGGTACAGTATGTATTTTGAAAATATATTTATAGTATGAAAGTGTCAGAATAGTTATTTTCTGAAAATAAAGTGTGTTTTTAATGCGGGCCTCGGGGTTAAAAGGTTAAGGCGAAAATACTGCCGCTAAGGGGAAATTTTAATGACGTTAAGGAGAAATATAGACAAGGGATTTTTCACCCTATGAGTTAGTTAGGAGTAGTGTATATATATATATATATATATATAAATATATATATAAATTTTGATGTAACATTACTGTGTTTCCTACTTCCTTTTGATAACAATTTGATATATAAATTTGTTGTGTAATCTAAATCGTGATGTAATTTAATTGATGTCTTTGTATTTTTACGATTTTCTGACGACAGCCTAAAAACGGGATGAGTTGTACAACGCTGTCTGAGTTGGGCTATAATGTCAGATTCCTGCTTTACAATGAGTGAACACTATGTTTTGTTGTTATGTACATTGCCAGGTAGGACCTACTGAAAAACAATTACAAAAGTTGCAGATGTATGCAAAAATTGCAAAGGCGTATATAATGCAATGTGTGTTACGATGAATTATTAACATAAATGACATATAAGATAATTTGCATCTTAATTTCCTCACCTGGACACTGTGTTGGTCTGTGCTTACAGAAGTAACATCATCACGGGGATACTTTTTAGCATACCATGGAACTACAATCTCTTTTTCGTCCTCGCTAACTGACACACTGTGAACAGAACGCTTCTTTGAAGATTTACTATCCATGGAATCAGAACGTGTCCTCTTTCCCACTGTATGCGGCTTGGATGGAACTAAAGAAATGGAAATATTTACAATTACCTATCCAATCAACTGATTTTGAAACTTACAGCCTCGGAATATAGGCCATGCCGGTTACTACTTAAGTCTTTGTCTCACCTATTTTAATCGGGGCATCACATTCGTCAGCAGCAGACGCTACGGCACTTGGCTCAACATTACTACCTGATGCACTACCTGAGGTTAGCTACATTTTAAAAATATGTCATTAATGTTTAAAAGAACATGGAGAACTAAGATAAAAAAATTCTTAAGACACAGGGACCACAAAAGCAGTCTATATTTGGAGGTGGTCTTTAACTGGAGGGGTCTTTAATTAGAGAAAGACCTGCAAAAGTAATTGGTAGAATGTGACAAGATACTAAATAATTATGCAAGCTACAAGTACAACCACTGTATGCAAATAATTATGATAAAATACTGTGTAATTAGAATTTCAGCAAAGGTTTTATTGTTTATTTGTATGGGCACCACATAAATAGAGTATGTATTGTTAAATGAGGCAATCAAAAAGAATCTGCTCACCCAATGGCTATGTTGCAAGGTATAGTAATACTGTTTATCCTGCTGCTGCAATCCTCCCTGTTGCACAACACTTGCTAAAGATAAACACAGAAACAAAAATGTTCATTAATAAATTCATTCTTTAAATATACTGTAGTTTACAAAGAAGACATATTGAAGGTGTTTGTAGTTATTATGGTATTTAAATTGCATTGTTTGTTAGCAAACTCAGTGATGAATCAGAAATTAAAGCTGGAGTAAAGCCCTATCCAAACTATCAAATTTTATTTGACAAAAACATGTGACATCTAAATACGGTCATGATGATACACCATGACCATATATGGCAAAGGCAAGCCAAACCAGTCACTCAACGCAAACATTGACTTTTGAGTTGTTAATACAAGGCTAAAGAGTAAAATAAGAATTATAAAATGGTAAAAAATCATTCAAATCTGACATTTCCTTATGAAGTTACAGTACAAAAATTTAGATGTACATGTGTTTAAAGCAAAATATATGAGAAGTCAGCCTTCAAAGTTTATGATTTTGAGCATTTCTCACATAGAAACTATCATCGAATCTTTAAAAAATGTTGTTATAACATTGAAAATGTGGAAAATATGTTGTTTTAACATTGAAAATGTGGAAAATTAAAGCATAGCATGACGTGTAGATAAATAAAGGTTAGTTTAGTGCAATAAAATAGATTTTTTAAAAAATGACATTCCAGCATATTTTGGCCATTTTCTCCGAAATGTGATTGGCGAAGAGTGACTGGTTTGGCTTGTCTTTGCCACATATATAGGCATATCATGACTATATATGGGCATACAACAGCTTTTTGTCAAATTAAATTGGATAATCTGTACAGGGCTTAAGTAGATAAAGACTACGGCAATAGTATGAACACACCTTCTGTGATTAAAGATAAAAAGACGAGATGAATAATCTTATTTACTGACCTTTATCCTTGTCCCGTTGCCCCGAAACAACGTCAACATTAGCAAATATTAGCTTTCTGTAAAGTAACAACCAAAAAGATATATCTTTATAATATTAATATCAACAAAAATGTAGTCCTAAATTTGATTTGATGAAATTATTTACATATATTATCATTGATTTTGCTGGGAGAATCTCTTATAAAATAATTATTTAATTTCAATACCGTAGCACATGTCCATCTAATTGTTTCAATTTCATGTTCCAAAGCTGAATTTTTAAGCAAATTGTGAAGAGTGGTTTACTTTCAATTCAAATCGATTATCAACAGCGAGTCTTAGCAGAAATACTATGGAAAAGCTAAAGCATTCTTCTATGCAAAACATGCTACGTACTTTGCATCTTTAATGGTGAACATTTTAACACCAAATACAACTCCAAGTGGATCTTTTTCACAGTAAACCATCCTTGGGTCAACTGGATCATAAAGCTTCAAACCTTCTATGTACTTAATCAAAAACTGGAGAATCTAAAAAATACAAATTAAGCCAAGTATTACTTCTACTGTACTATTGAAAAATAATACTGTCAAAAAAAACACGAAACACTGTATTAGTTGATTATCAGTAATTGCATGTAATGGTACACAAAACACATTTCAATCATTAATAATTATTCTTCAAAATTAGCAATTTTAATGAAATGTTACATTTTATGTGTTCTTTTTCAACAGAATACTTGACATATGAAATGCATACAATAATAGTAATTCATGTCATGTTAAAAACCAACCTGCTGAGATGTGAAAACAGTCCCCTTTGCACCAACAGTTGCAAGAAGTTTTAAGAATGCTGACTTGGGCCTCACCTACAACACAGAAACCATAGCTTGAAAGTTTAATTTTCTAAATAGTTTAAACAATGTAATGATTACATTTTATACTCAACTAACCAATTGACCAATGTCCAGGGTTCTCACCAGCATGTTAAGAATGGTGGTCGGTGACCATGCCCACCCCGACCCCCGGGGGTGGGGTGACAGGCCTAACTCGCCACCCAAATTTTAGGCCAAACCGAAAATCGTAGTGGTAGGTGAACTAGGCCTAGCTAGGAAGGCCTATTCAGTTCAGTAAGCCTAGGCCTAGCCCTTAACGTAGCTTCGGCCTCTAGCCTAGGCCTACAAAGTACAGGCCTAAATTGATTAATAGTATTATTTGTGACGACTTACTACTTGTAAAATATTTTCATTGTCAATATAGCAGGTACAGTTTTGAAAATGTATTACCAAATGTCGTCGCCGCTTGCAGTACTACTGTACATGAGCGTCGCATCATGCATTGTTTATTGCTGCATGCTCTAGCGACTATCGCGGATTAATATGATAATAGTACTAGGAAAGGAGAGAGAGGCTTGAGCCGCCACCCAAACAAGAAAGTACTACTTTGTTTTTAACATGTGATTGGACAGTGCGCTGGCTGCGTGTGGCGGGATCTCTAAAGATAGATTAAATTTCAGACATATCAGAGTTAACTTCGTCGTTGTTGTGTCTTATTCCTTGATTGAGTAATGTAATGTAGATAAAGCGCTATACTGCGATAAGATATTAATAATAAATAGTAATAATAATTAAAGCTGTGTGTAGAAATTGGGCGTTTAAATTTTCTGTGTATCTGGCAAGGAATTCATCTGGCATTGCCAGCAGATGAAAAAAAAAAACGTGCTCCACTGTAGATAGAGCGAAATGCATGTTGTGTAACGGACGTATCGTGGATGAGGTGTTGTGATCGGAGTTTTTAAATAAACGTTGATGATAACGCTAAAATAAAGAAGACGGAACACATACAGTACAAGTTTATAGGCCAATTGTGATTTGTTGAAGTCGTCCTAGAAATAAATAATATTACAATATTGGCAATGATGTTAAATAACTGCTATTCGTTTCGCTTGAGTGGACACGATTTGAACTGAACAAACAATGCTAGGCCTACAGGCAGAACAGTATAAGCCTACAGCTAGGCCTTAGTAACGTAGTAGGGTTTCAAATTAACGTAAACACGGAGACGTTAATTGATATCTTTGTCTTATCTAACGTAGCTAGCATGTTCATTGTCTAGACACTGAGTTGTTAATCACAACTCCCTACTGTAGTCATGTAACAAAAGTAGTTTGTTCCGTTGTTTTTCTCAACTATCAATTGCAAAAATAGTGGTGGTCAGCAGTATAGGAGTGGTGGTCGGAAATTTCGAGTGGTGGTCGGGGCCGTCCAGCGCCGACCACCGTGGTGAGAACCCTAAATGTCTATCTCAATTATTTTGAAATGTACTAATAATAGTGCTTCAAGTTCAGACAAGTTTAAATTACTTGTAACCAAGTAGTACAGTACATTCTTCTTCCTCACATTTACATAAGCATTTATCAAACCATACTTAACTTTTTATATTGCAATACCAAGTTCTTCTTTTTTGCAATCTCAAGTGAGGGCCAAAGGGCATCGTCTATTGCTATTTTACACACATTATTGCTATATTATTATTTATTTCTATTTAACCTCCACCTACCTCCAATTTGCTGAAATGGTTCTGACACACCCAAGATGGGGGTCCGACCCAAGGGGTAAACTGGAGCCTTGGTCCTAGAATAAAAATCCCCTTCAGGGGGCATAAGGAGAGTTTTTATGGTTCACAATGGCAATGGCATACACTTGAGCTTTTTGACCCCAACATTAGGAATGGGCAATCTCAATAACCTTTCAGGCAAATTTAAAATGTTTGGTCCAACAACTTTTTCATGACATCGTTAAGACATGGGGAGGCAAGTCTAGGCCTGTCTGACAGGAAAATAAAAATGTTGATATATTGTACAACTGATTATTCTAATACATAAAAAGGGTGTTTGACTAAAAACTCAGGAATTGTTAATGAGGTTTCTGAATATTTAGAAATTTGGGGCAAAAAGTTAAAAAAAAGCATGGTAAAAAGGGTGGTTACACCCCTTTTTCCCCAGTTTTTCACTATTGAAAAGGCTGTATCTCATTAACCAAATCCGCGAGTTGTACAACATCAAACATTTTTTTTCTTTTGAGTCTGCCTTAAAGGGTTTTCTGGAAATGTCATTTAGGTGCGGCGCTCCGTATTAAATCAACAATTCACTTTATCCTCTGACCCATCTTTATGCCCACTTCTGTCCTACACAATAAGTACTTACCAGTAATTTCTCATTTGGTAGTTTATGTTCTGGCTTTAGTTCTTGAGCCAATAATGTGGCCATGATGATGGTCATTGAATCATGTGATCCACTGGGTTGACTTGATGATGAAAGGCGTTGTTTTCGCCCCATGTTGATCCTGTTACTATTAAGGTAAAATTATAAACAATTAGACTTGCTGGACTGTAAAACCACGCGACTGGAAGCATAATGCATTCCCTGGTTGATAAGCCTATTTATCTGTGAAATAAGGATTGGTCTAGGCCTAGTGATCATTTTAATAACATGACAAACAATAACACACTTAATTTTCCTGGATAATAGACCGAATCGGCGGCTCGGGTAACGTGCCTTATAGGCCTAGTGGGTAATAAGGTTTGTTATGAGACAACAGTGCATTGAATATATGGCTTCGCCTTGCTGTTGATGTAAATCACATCATAGATGTTGCAAATGTTGGTTGGAATGCGAGCTCTAATTTGATAAATCATTTAAAAATGTTCCAAAATTAAATTTTTAAACACTTATCAGTTTGATTTGGTAAGGCTCCAACGAATAGTGGGAATAAAGCCTGAAGTTTTTCAAAAAAAGGTATGGTACCTTCACGATGAGCATATTCCTCCAGTGAGTCGTCCGCCGGTTGAATTGAGACACCTCTCTATCCTAGCTAGCTAGGCCTAGGCTTATTTCTAATCAAACTAAGGCCCTATGCCTACCTCATTTCAATGTCAAATTGTTGCTCCAGGCGTATAAACATGATGAGCAGCTTGTTCAGCAGCTTTTCTACAAGTGAATGTTTTCATTGAAATCATTTCCGTCATCATATCCTACAAAACCCAGGCAAGCCTGGACAACGCGAAGAACTCGCCCAAGCGTGACCCAACCGATTGGCCTTGTGTGTTGTTGTTCGAATTCCCACGTTTATTATAGGCTTTAATAAGCAAGCGCTAATAAACAATAGTACTAGACTAAAGTAAGTATATGTAGACTTCTTCCTTACCTTCAACTCATACCATTTTAAGTAAAGTTTAATACGTTCATTTTCGATATCAGACTGTTAAGAAACAAGATCATTAAAACCAAAGTTGAGCCCAACCAGCATGCAGAAACAAGCCAGAACAAGCCTGAACATGTAAATTTCGCAGGGCAAAAACGAACTTTGACCCAATGAGGGCGCTATACAAAAGCACTGGACAGAGCCATAGATAGACAGAATCCAATCAAAAATCAACTTCATGGTCGAATCAATCAAGGCTAGGTCCCGAAAATGCAAAGCATATAATTGTGGACTGGAGGTGGATGCTGTAATTATCAAGATGCAAATTTCTATTTGTTTAAAATTGCACTGTTTTAAAAAAATCTAAAATTCCAATTCCTTAATTTTTGTATTTTAAGTAAGTTAATAACTTACAATTAAAAATGTATATATTATGATCATTGAAATATCTAATGGCTTACACAAAATATTTCAATAATCATATGTCGTATATGGCCCTAACAGCAGTGAATAGGTTGATGCAACCAATGCAACACATATCGAATTAAAAATCTGACTGAAAAAAACAAATGTCCCCGTCAATTTATAGACAGTTACGGTAATTAAAAAAAGCTTCTGAAGTTCTTTGGCATCGGACTCCGTTAGAAAGTCTTAAATCAGCAAAACATTTTTTTTTCTTTTTGGAAGTTAATTACTTATTTAATCCTATCAGATGAGCTGAATTTTTAGGGTTTTCCCGAATATTTTGCAGAGAGTCTATATTTTAATGACTGATCCTCTGAACTATGCGACACAAACTGAATTTTCAGGACGCCGGTACCTGTAATAAATGCCTCATGAGAAACATAACAATTCGTCTTCCGCCCTCTCGAATACAGAAAGTACAGAAACCAAAGGTCTTTGACAGAAGCGAAGTTTCAATAAACCAGATTAAGTTTTGAAATCCGACCAGAACTTCACTCCTCAGAAAAACGGAAGATTTTTTGAAACAATGTAAACATAGCAGACCTATTTAGTAATAATAAATAATGAAAACGGTTAATTTAAAAAGTACTGTATGCATGTACGTAGTACAGAACTGCATATCCACAACGCTCCTGGTAAAAATAGACGTTGTTACCAGGCGGAAATTGGTATGGTATTATAATTGTATCCTTGCAAGTCGGAATTCCACATAAAATTTGTTTATCCTGGTTGGCTGTGGCCCAAATTACTCCTCAAAAGATATTTATTGAATAGGACCAAGTGAAACCAACCGTGTTTCGTTCTTTCATTTACCTCACACCTAAAATTGCCTTTATACCTATCTCCATACGGTAATGAATTTTGCAGAGGCATGAAGAATCTGAGAATGCCCTATCTATGGATCTTATCAAATTGATTCTCCATGATACAGGTATCCATGATGCAATAACAGCAGCAGCGCTTTATTTTTAATGAATTATTCCGGCGCGCTCTAGTGTGTCATTTTTATGGGAAAAAATGTTTTGTACTGTAGGCTTATATAGAGAATGCGTATTTGGGAAAAACTTGTAATTGCTCTTTGAAAAATGCAATGCGAAAGACTACAGTCGAGTTGATGGAGGACAAATATTAATCTAAAATCCTACCAAGGACTTTACAGAAGTTCATGGCCTATCCCTGGTGTATTTACAGATCGTGAATGTTTTGATAGTCGTGTTCATTACTGGTATCTTTTTCAGCTTAAAACTAATGAAAGTTATCCAAATGATATTAATAAAGGTTAATGTTTTTGATTAACTGATAGCCTCGGACCATCGAGCGCGAACTAAGTGGCTGAAGAAATTGCTACAGTACACTTTATGGAGTTCCTTATAAATGGGTTTGGCTGCCCTCTATTGGTCATTGTAAGTTTTGATTTTGATATGTACTGCACTGTACGGTATATTGTGTGTGTGGGTTTATTAACTGTTGAAAAGTGTAGAAGTAGGCCACGTATTAAACAAAATTGCTAATTGTCCATGTTCAAGAATGATTTGAATGTACAGTAGTTTATTTCTGTAAACAAAAGTTTGTCCACTTTCACATGGTTTTAAAAAAGTGTGTTGGGTTACTGTTTTATTAACAGTACTGTACTGTATGATCTTGTGAATTACTGCTGTACATGCATGCAAGTACTGTAGGAGTACAGTAGTAGATAATTTAGTCTTTTACGCGATACCACACTTTCTCACACTGAAAAAATATACCAACAATGCTGTACTTCAATCTTGAATTTTTTATTTCATAAGAAAATGCTTAAAAATTCACAAAATAGCAATTGACTACTAGTCAAAATGAGATTATGGCCAGTTAAAATATGACAGTTCTAAAATGTATAAAAAAAAAAAAATAAAGAAAATAAGTGTGAAATTACATTGTTATGGACAATCAAACATAATTGATACAGAAACTAAAGTTTCAAAGAGAAGATGCCAGCACCTAAAATATGTGTATCATTTATAAACGAGCGATTGCCTAATGACTTGGAACACGCGTGGAATGATATCATTTAGAATGTTAACACTGGAAATATAACACCAAGAATTGAAAACTTGGATAAAATTGGTCAAACTCTAATTTGGTCAATAGTAGTAGCTTATTCAATAACATCTGAAACTTACATCTATTAATCATGGTTATTTCAATTCCTAATCATAAATTTGTTGTATGCAATAGTTTCACAGCATAACATTTCAAGCACTAACTAAGTAAGATAAAGTGCTTATAAACTGCTTAAATTAAATACAGATGGTTTGTTTTGCATAGAATTACAAAATTCATTAAAGTTGATAATTTAACCCTGCTTAATTATTTAGAATCACTTTACTTGTTATCTATGGAACTCATTAATTTACTGGGTATATAATATAATTCTTCAAAAAGTCGTCGTAAATCTACACAGCAATTGGTTATACGATAGACTGAGCACATCAAACTTTCAAAGACAGTATATCACGCATATCTTAAGGAAACCCCAACACTGCAATTAGCTGGAATTGGTCAAGTTTCAGTTTAGCAGGATGTTCATCATAAATCAAACTAGAATATAAATTACATCTTTGGTAGCACTGATCAAACTGGGCTAGTAATCGTGGTATATGGACTGGACAAGAATGGCAGTGTTGTATGATTCTATTACGCAGGAGTAATACACGGCACTAATTTACTAGTATAATACCAATTGAACAGCTAGTTTTACTGTTTTTTAAATTTTATATTTTCATTCTTAGCATTTATACCCTGCACCCATAGCACAGGTAAAAAAAATATATATATAAAAAGAAAAATAATACAAATATACTAACAATGATTGTTAATTAATGAGGATGATAGCTTGTGTTTTCTTTGAGGTAGAATTCACATATGTCAATCATCACTCATTTATTTCATAATGGTACCCAACACTTTAGACTGGAAGACATTTTGATAATGAATTTTGATTAAAATTATACTGTCTGTATTAACCTAAATAACAATCCAAATTAAAACTAATTACTTAAATTACAATAATTTGTATATTTAATAGCTTTGTTGTAAATAGCTTTAAATTTTTCAAATTAAAACAGAAAATATATTCTCTGCCTATTACAGGACACAATCCATTTCTGTATTCTTTGCATAGAACCTTAAATTAGATATTAATTGTAATGATTTCAGTGGTAAAAATTAATGGTTTGAATGTGTCGTTTCATTTCAAGTTGACAACTTATTTGATCCTTTATAAGTAGTTAATTAAAAAAAATATTATTTGAGATTTAATCACAGACAGTATAATTTCAAGCATATCTCCACTGAGTTATTTTACAAGCAAATTCAAACGAAAAATACATTTAATTAATGTTAAAACACAAGTCGTTCAATACTTAATCCCTGTGCAATTAAATATCTTACTTCAAAATATAATAAATTTATGTTGAAAGTTTGCACCTTGTCAGATACATCGTATGAAACAAAATATATTTTAAAATAGTAAATAACAACATTCAGATATATGTGATCATTTTCACAGAATTAAAGAGTTTAATAAATAGAGAGGCGATGCAGGTGTATGACCCCTGTTAGGTCATTCCCAATACATACGTTTATTCAATACATTGCATAGTTTCGCAAACAAAAATTATGTTGCATTATTAACAATATGGCTGCGAAATTCTCTTCCGAATTCAGAACATTATCAAGAAATATTTACAGAAAAGAATTTGAATTCTGTACCCATGGTATTCCTGTTATTGCATACATATCTCTTACACTATCTCGCAGTAACCACCCACTCGCTTACACACCAAAGCAAATTAAAATAGCTACAATTTATCAAAATTCATAATCTAAACTATAAACTCGCGCACAAAAAACTGTATATATCTTGCTCACTTCAACTCATCAACTTATTAATATTCTATTTTTTAAATTTAAATATTCATTATATTAAAAAAATTTCAATGATAATGTTCAAAATTAGGAAAAGAACTACGCAGCCAACTTCTGCCTTTACGCAGAAGCAATATTCAAGAGATCGGAAATATCCTGAATATCTGTTGGTGTCGAGGGTGCTTCTTTATCATCCTGTTTTAGCATTTCTTCTTGCTGGTTACCGGACGATAAGTTTTTTGACAACAGATGCTCAATTTGTTCCTGACATTGGTGTAGATACTCCTGCAAGACAAAAATAATTGAGAACATCAAATTTATATTCAAATTGATTTAATGAAAGAATTGTACAAATTAAAAAGTTTACAGTATTTTGAGAGGACAGGTCTAGGTAAGATAACGGCATCAAGTTAAATTATGTGATAAAATTGTATGGAATAGAAATGACTAATCAATGTATTTTATATTAAATATTTCAGCAGAAGAATTTATCATATCTGCCTCTGTAACAGTAACAGTGGGATAAAGAGAAATATACGTAATATGAAATGAAGCGAAATAAATTGTTATTGAGATGATGGATAGAAGTCACAGACAGGTGATTGACCTAAAAAAATCATTTCAAATCATAATGCAAAAATTCATTTTACCCTATTTAGTCATATTCATATTTTAAATAAAAAAAAAGGTTTTCTTTGCTAAACATTAGTATCATGATCAATGGCTATACATATTATTGTTCAGATTTATAATAAAAGTAGTGATTATTAATCATAAAATAATTTGTAAAAAGTTCCATTGCTTAATTAGGCAAATGTGCAATCAACTCAACAATAAAAAACGACAACAATCAACACATTGTCACTTCACAAATCTTCAATTCGGTATCATTCAAAACTGTTGCATGGAAAAAAAGTTTATATGGGGAAGAACAAAGCAAGGGTCTATTTGGGACGGCAAATAAAAGTGTGGAGTAGATAATAACTAATCTATGCCTAGTGGGTAAGAACGCCTAACAATAACTTGTATTTAAAAGGCAGGAAGTGTTCTCCTTTCAAGCATGCATGGTACAATGGACATCGATAATCTACTATCCCCTATATAGACAGTTCATTTGCCAACTTTTGGAAAATGGAATCGGTGGAATATTAGCACTAAGTACAGGTATAAGGGAATTGGGGATGTGGATAAATACTAATACTAAAGAAACTTGCCATCTTGGTATTTAGGTGGAAAACTACTTTTTCACTTTTCTCAATAAGAAGACATTTATAACTACGCAAAATACAGGCTACTCTATTAAAACTGTCTAGAACAAGAGTTATATCCCATTTGTTATTGATGAGGAATGGTAGAGGTAAAAAAAACTTCCAGGAGAGCATCAAAGGGGACATAAACACACTCAGTAAAAAAAACCCACTAAAACTAGGTCATATGAATAGAAGAGAAGAAAGAAGTTCAAAATTGATGTGTACCACCCAGGGCTAGGCTGCCCTCCTTGCATAAAATTTGATTCTATAAAACCTGTGCCCTTGATTCTAGAGACTACCTTGATTCTACATGGTTGTCACTAGGGAGAGGAGGGCCAATGGGTCATTTGCTGTACTTGACTGAGGGGTTACGGCACAGACAATCACATGGTCTCTACAACATAACTCCCCTACTGTGTTCCTTATTTGACCTTTGGGTGACATATTATAATCAACCTGTCTGTACTATATAATTTCTCATAGCAACCTGACCACTAACAGGTTTGAGTTTAACACGCAACTTTCATAAATCAGTCAAGATGATCAAATTCCAACATGAAATACCATTCCCATCACGGATGGAACATACTAAACAAAAACATTAAAAAATATAATTAAATAATAATTTATACTAAACGGTGAACTGACAATGTAGCAAAATTAAAGACATGACAAGAAAAAAATTTTTTTTTTTAAACTTTGAAAATAAATAATCACATTCATTGCTTTTGTTAAAATACTACTTCCCAAATTACAATCTTTGACAAATCACACAAATAATCTTGAATCAAGTATTAAATTCAAAACATGCATATTTTTATTTTATACTTGAAACTAATTTTGAATGTTTTTATTTGTGTAAATCCTAGAGGAAGGCCTCATGCTGGCTTTTGGGAAATAGGAATCTAGTGATCTGCTATCTCATATCAAACCACTGCCTTCACCAGTAGTCAATCACCACTCAGTAACTAGTAATCAAAAACATCTTAGACTCATTCATCTAGCAAATGCGTATATCAATGCTGCAGGGTCTATTTCCAGAGTCACACCATGAAGGAATGTCCCGACAGTGTAGCATTCCCCTCCAGATTATAAGGACCCACTCAAGATGTATAATTCAACCGGCATTCTTTGTCTATGTCTCCAAGAATAATATAACATGGTTATGATTATGAGGTGTCACATAACAAATTCTTCAAGTGCCTGGTTGACTTGAAACAACTGTTCTTCCACCATTAAAAGAACCACCCAAAAAATTAAGTCAGCACCAGTTTTCCATCAATATTAATTTGCGCAATTTGGTTCAAACATAGCGGAAGAGCCAATGCAGTTGGAAGTATCCAGAATCACATAGAAATCTGTTAATCATTCAGAATTTAACATTTCACATATTTCCTTCCCTTTTAACTTGTGCTAGATTAAAAATGACAGGTCAAAATTCCGACAGATACCTGAGGCAGGTTAACCACCTCAACCCTAGCTGCCTCTTTCACGGCACGCGTGAGAAGAAGGAATGGAAATACCTGCTCTCTTTAAAAGCACCGGCAAATTCCAAGAAATCGGTACAGTGACCGTAACGAGCAGACTCGTCTCCGAGTAATAAGGTCTGGAGACAAGACGCCACACGGAAGTTAGATAAGCGTTGTTGAGGACAGAGTCCTCTTCGTAGGTTTAAGGAGGGATACATAGTCAGCCCAGCAGGAGATGAATTGAGAGAGAAAGTGGAAATGTCAGAGACACAGCAGTCAACAATGAAAGGTAATCTATCTTCTGTCTAGAGGCTAATAGCTTGCAAACTACCCGAGTGCGCCACCAACATATCAACTAGCTAAATAACAGGCTCAGTACAATTATGGTGGGTAACTTGATCGCAACGTCAGTTAACAAGAACATTCACAGCAAAATATTGACAGGTAGTGAAGATGGGAGGTCTTGAGGACCAAGATCGGTTCTAGGACACCACATTGAACCAATCAGAGTGCTTGCGTTACAAAGCAGGTTGTAACAATAATGTACTCAACTGTTAACTTGTGGGTGGATAAAGGTGACTTAATGATGTTACACACTAACGTTTTTTTATTTTTATTTATCCCTTCTGTTGAAACAATATTGATTGTGCAAGTGTAAGGGTAGAGTCTCATTTGATAATCAAATCAAACAAGGAAAACCCTCCAATGCTATAGGGTCAAGTGGCTAAGCTATGCTGGAAATATCACACGGATCATCAATAAATACACCCAATTGAAAGCCCTCAGCTAGGATTGCAATCCACATTCTTGTCAGCTTTTACGGTCTTTGTCTCTGTAATTCCTCTAAAATTCAACCCTAATATTTTGTACATCTTGTGAAACCCCCTTTCCAGAGCCACATAGGGAGTTAATTGAAGCATATGTTTGACATATGAACTCCAAATACCATGTTTATTTTAAATTGCTAAGCTAATTTTTAAACTTCTTTATAATTTTTATTCCTTCTTCACTTCACACATCAACAATTAATATGTTAATTACCCTCTTAAGGAATATTGTATCTGTGATGTCAAACGCAGGTTACCATACTCTGAACTCTTAACTGTTCGGATACAAGATACATGGGAAGTTTATGTTATATATTGTTCTCATACAAATGTTCAAATTTAAATAGTATTATTTTTTGGAGATAAAAAAAACTTGCATGAATGAGAAACCACCAGGGAAATGACCGGTCCCTTCAAACAGAATTTAATTCAATTCATTTTGTTAACCACAAAAATGACAGGCCTGTTCTGAATATGCCAACATCTCAACTTTTTTTTTTTATTCAACAGGTGATTGATTGCTAAAAATTCCAAAAGAATCCAGGATGGGTCTCTGGGATACTTGAGCATAACACAGCCCTTTTGAAGTACTGTATAGTATATTCAAATTGTATTTATCTTCCCCTCAAACCAAAATCAATACAGCTTCCAGAATTACAATGCAATACATTCTAAGATGTTCTGTAACAAACATCATTATACCCAATTCTGCCATAGAATTTGCCATCTAGATTATCTGTACTTATAAGGATTAATTAGTAATTTGTGAAGAGTTTAGCTTTTTGTTTAACATCATGTTTGGACATAGGTAGAAACAGAAAAAGAAAGGCTTACAAGGCCTAATCTTTGCATTTGTATGTAGTTCTAAGTTGTAATACTCTTATAAGTTAAGACTCTTTGCAAGCCTAGTCGGTATAATAGGCCAAGCCCTGTATTTTTTCCATGGGATTTTCAAATGTTAATTACAAATTTACTTGCTTATCTTTTCTATGTTCTAAAGAGGAGAACACCTTCCTTTAATCTGTATTTGGGTTAAAACACAAAGCAAATTATTCATTCCTTTGTATTATATTGACAATAACATGTTTTTCAGACAGTTTTAGGCCTACTTTGTACGTACACCACTGATACATTATTAAGAAGATCAGTAAAAAAAATAAACAATATTGACACTTGCAAACTGCAAGAACTAGCTACCTGCATTTTATGTTGAGGTAAGACAATAGAGCTTTTATGTTCTTATCAGCATTAAGCATTGTACACCTAGGAGATACTAATTACAAACACTGCTTAACAAGATACTCATATGTTGACCAACCAGCAACTTAGCATGTCTTTAAATCCATTGTTAACCAATCAATACATTCCAATACAGTAACTTGGCCAAGGATGTTAGAAGGAAAAGTGTATGGGAGAACAGCAAGGATTAGGTAGGCCCATACAATTAAATGTCTACTTTAGTACAACTTGTTTTGTATTCAATGGATAAGGGAAAATCTACTTATAGCCACGTTTCAAACCATGAAATGAAAACAAGATATCTAAAAAATGAATGCAGACTGAAAAAAAAAAAATGATACGTTATGAATAAAATAATTTATAAAAACTTACCAATTCGATTTTTGTAATTTCATATAGTCTATTCATAAGGTTAGGTATTTCGTCGTACCGCCGGACTCCGGAGCTAAGACCATTCACTGCTGCCCCCACACACCCAGCTGCTATCATTGATGGAGGGTACATAGCAAAGCTATAATCTGATGGGTGTAAAGAATACAAATGTTCAACAATTTGTGTATGGCTTACAAAAAAAAAATCTTGAAGTTTGCTACACGAAAAATAAAAATAAAAAAAAACTTGTTTGATGTGTTCATATTTATTGTGGCATAGGTTTGTATACAATACTTTAAGGCTGTTAAAAAACCTCAATAGAGTAAACATGTTTGTTTTGCAACCTCTCCTACCGCCACATAAAAACAGTGTAGTCTTTTCAACCCTATCCTGGAGGTACACCTTGAATCACCTATCCTTTTTATGGGCTTGAACTCTGCTTTGACCACAGTGTAAATTATTTCCGCTTATTATAGTATGTTTTTAATTTTATTTCCCTAATAAACATGGTTAGTTGGCACAATAGATCCAAAACATCCGTGCCACAAACAGAGAAATGTACTTAACTTCGCCTGCGAGTTAAAATGAAACATCTATACCCTACCCCCTGTCTGTATATTTAAAAGTGATTTTTACAATGGTAGGAATACTTTTGTTGATATGTTTCAAGTACAACAAACAGGTACTGTAGTTCATAACACTTGATAACAGACAGAAATTCCTGAAAATCCTGTGTAATGAACTTGCCTTGAAATAATCACATCTAAATGTTTATGCTTGATTATTATCTTCTGAAATATATACTCTTCAAATAAAAATTTCAACATTCATGGTTATAGAACAAACAAAGAAGGGGCACCAGTTATATGCCTGTTACTAGGAGGGTTTCCTATTAAAGCATTGGAATTTATAACTTAGGTCATATAAGAGATTAACAAAGGCCTTAAGAATATTTATACCAAACAAAAAGCAAACACTAAATTTGGAGAGCAATACTGGTAGACTAGTTCTTGTAGGCGAACAAAACTAATCTAATTCAGCTAAGACACTTTCATTAGCTCAATGCTCAATAGTAATTACTATTTGTTTCTTGGGACCTACATTACAAAGATCTGTTTTGCAAATTTCATTGGAACATAGCAATACTAAGTAAGTTTATTTGGGCAGTGATAGGGGATTAACAGCTCTTCCCTCAAATGAAAGAATGGCATGTCTGATCAATCTATCTAGGGTAGGTATTTTCAAGACAGACTTAACCAGACCAAGACAAATTCGATACAATGAGGAACATAATCAATAATGCATTCCAGGGCATACTGTGTTCTTTTCTCATTAAAATAATGCATCATTACCCAGAAGGGTCTCTCTGTGGTGCTATCAACTAGGCATACTTTAACCATTATCCTTGTAAATTTAAATAGATTATTATGGATAAACAGGAATAGATAAGGCTGGGTGTTTTAGACATAAACTTTAAAAACAAGTCCATTGGAAGATTTAATAAACAAAATTAAGTATACTTGAAAAGTCATGGTCTAGACACTTCAAAAGGTCTATTCGAGACACAAGTTAGGAATTTTGGTTGAAAATTTTGAGGCAATCCAAAAAATTATGACAGGAAAACGAATCAAAAATATCTTCAATCATGCCCTACAGATCCAGAAAAATTTAAACCCACTCATTATAAAATTTGGAACATGTTTGGAAGAATATGAAATTAAACCCTTCTCGATAAATCAGAACATAGATACAACAGATAAAAAGTTCTAGTTTGTAGCAGTTTCTTCAAAAAAAAAAAAATTAAGTTAATCCACCGAAATTTTAATAAAAGAATGTACAATGAATACTTACCATCAAATTGCACATTAATTTGGCCAAAAGTGTATAAAATAAAATTGCAAATTGCTTTCTTTTCACGCATAAACCACACCTTGATGGTCAACACTTCCATTTTTTTTTTTATAAAGATCATGGTATTTTATACAGGCACACACACTTATTTTTCATCAACAGAAAAAATTAAGTATGAAAACACACCTGTTACACACATTGCTATTAATGTCTGAGCATGTTTTCGGATAAGATGGGCGTAGTCAGCTTTTATCGGTAATCGATGTATTACTTGTTCCAAGAAATCATGTGGAGTTATTGCAGACAGGTCCCATTTAAGTCTCTTTAATATTAACACTTCAATATCCTGAAAGATAAAATAAAGCAAAAACATTTAGAAAAGGTAGAAAAAAAAAACATTACACAATGATGATAGTAGTTAATGTAACCCACAATTATACAGTCATAAATACAACACAATTTGACACCTGCAGTGCTATATAAAATGCGAGTGAGTTTCTACTTAAACATTACAAAAATTGGTACATATTATTGTATGAAATTGTAATAAAAAAGTGAAATGAACGATTGACATGGTAATGAAATCCAACAAATCAAAATTAGTTTTATCAATAGGTAGAAGCAAACGATTTCTCTAACCAGTTGGACATTTTATTGTCAATACTAAATTTGCTGCAATATACAACATAATTAATGTTATTACTAAGGATAAATTCAACAGGCAAAATTTCATTACAAGCAATATAATTTTTCTGAATTGAATCAACTTGTTTACTACATGTGAATGATCAATATTCATATATGCACGCGCGTTCGACATTTAATTAACTTTTTGTTACAACAATGTTCGCGCGAAATCTCGAATTATTATGTGTAAACATCTTCCTTCCTGTCACCCTTTCCATTCAATCATGGTGTTTTTTCGAAGATATGCAAAGAAAAAAAAAACTTACTAGTAATTGTTGATAACTTATTGATTTATCTGTATAGATGATTAGTTTTTCTGCCGTCAATGGCGAAGTCTCTTTTAATTTTGAAGCTAAAAACATACAAGCTGCTCCCAAAAGTTGTAACTGATTTCTGCCGAGCTTGCAAACAGCCAAGAATCTGTCCATGTAATTCATTGCAAGAGGAAACACGTCTTGTTCACATTGCTGTTCTTCACATACCTAAATAAACGAGAAAATAAGCAAACGACACATAAATACTAAGTTAGAGGATCCAAATTGACCAAGTGTCTATGAAGCGGCGGCGATGCTACATTTTCTCACGTGCAATATTTAACCTCGACGGTCCTGTCTCACAGAAGTCAATTTTTGGAAAGGTGCCAAGAAATCCAGCGCGGTTCCCGGCATCAATATCGCCAATATCAAAAGTTTCAAAAACCAGAAAAAATGTTTGAAATCATTTAAATTATTTCAAAATAGGTCATGGTAATACCACATTATAATTCTTTGTCTCTACTTGATTTGAAGATTACTCTAGATTGTTGAAGAACTAAAAATTGAAATTCAAAGTACTCTGTCTGGAATGAAAATTACCGGGTTGCCTACTAGGCCTAGTACTACAGATTTTGACTCTTGAGTGCGCGATTTTCCCACAATTTATAAAAAATATCTGTAAAATCATTATTTTGAGTCAAATCGCCGATTCCATTGGAATAAGTAGGTATTGTTCATCGCTGTTTTGTATTATTAGTAGAAAAAGGAACAATTATATTAGGAAAACAGAACAAAACACGTCATAAATATCAAGTGATAATAAGCAAAAATTGTCAACTCTAGCTTACACATACGGAAAGCACACTACTTACTTCAAGCATCCAGTCTGCAACCATTTTCCTCATATATGGTTTTAAATCTGTTTGGATGATTGTAAAATAGTCACTACTCAATGTGTATTTTTCTTCGCTACATAATAAATTGTTCAAAACTCTATCATTTAATAATACAGGATCTCGATAGCTTCGCCGAATTTTCTCTACTTCGCAACATAGCAACCCAACAGGTACTTCCATTTGATGGTAGGCAGTTAAAAACGATCTGTAATTAGTTAGGAATGGCGTAAAATTATACAGACTAAACAGCCTTTACCACTACAGATTCACTAGCTCCTAAAAAAAGGATAATAATGTTGACTGTCTGGTATGGCTAAGTCCGGTTTGGCCGACTTCAGATAGTTCGATCGAGAGCGATTTATCTTCAGTGCTTTCAGTGTGATATGCACCGGCCAACAATTTCCCAGCATCAAGTGACACGAAGTTATTGACTAGCTCATGAATAATTTATCATGAAGTTCTTGATGCGCGCAACAGTGGAGCGTCCGGTCTGAAATCAGCGAAGCAGGGAGCAGTGACCAGCCTTTCAAAATCTAATTGACACGCTTTGTTATTAATTGCGGTCATGCATATGCAAATTCGAATAAAAAAAAAATCATCACAATCAATAACAAAGCACCATGTGCTTTTTTCGCGCAATCTGAGCGAATTGGTGCGAAAAGCGAATGCCTGCACAGTAGTGTATAGTAATGCATAGTTGCTTTGTTCCGAGCAGTAAAATAATTTCTGGACAATAATTTTAAACAATGTTTTAACCATACACCTGGGAATAAGCCATTGTCAATATTTTTTAATGCTTTTAAAAAGACAGCGTTAAAATTCAGTTTTGATAGATTATTGCAGCAGATTGTGCAGCAGTAGTCCACAACCAGATGTCGACAGTCTAAAGTAAAAGCAGATGGTATAATTCATAAGCCCCATATCGCGTGCATATATTTTCTACTGTTTTTAATATTAATTAATAATATATTCAATTTCTATATTTTGCACAAATCAACTATTACCACATAATATAATAATTACAATTAGAAAAAATAAAATAGAAATGAAATAAAATAAAGTAAAATAAACTTTAAATTCGTTAGTCGAAACGCGTCCGGAAACAGTAATTTAAAAAAAAAAAATTAAATAATGAACGGAAACATCATTATTTTTGAGGGGCAAAATGTCTATAGAAAGAGGGAAGAAATTAGATTGTTTGTACCTTCTTTTTATTAGCTCAACATGTGATCCGTTTATTTAAATTATCAAAATAAGAAAAAACATATACAGGTACTAAACATCACTGATCGAAATAATAATAATAATAAAAACAAAAAAAACCACACAAGAGCAAGCCAGCAGTCTTTTTCAAAAACATAAACAATTAGGGGGAAATGGGAAAGGGCTACATTATAAGCCTACTCTCGAACACAGATAACCCCATCGAAGTCATTATCTAGTTTATGTGTATATAAACTGACGTCACTGCAAGGGTACTAATTAGCATGGTTGATAATCGACAAAACCTTTCTTTTCCCTATGCAAATACCCTTGTAAGCCGCTGACACGATATATATCGTCATGGTTTACAGCATGTCTATACACTCTAGTTACGAGGCAGAAGTTTCTATTTTTAACGCAGGCAAAAAGCTCCACCTTTCAAGATCTACATACTTATCGAACGTGAAGTTTTGACCAATCGTGTTGTTGATACAGTGCAATACGGTATTGTGATTGGTTGGGCGCTTGGTTACATTGCATGGCGAGAACTAGAGTCAAGAATTCTTGCTTTAACACTTACAGTATAATGATTTCATAGCATTGATAGTTTAAGGAAAAGACGATGGGAAATTACGTGAACATTTTTAAGCCCGCGCACAACGTTTCTCGACTACAGCTTGATTTTAACCCCAATTAGACATTTTTTACCTTACCCAATGTCTGTGACATGAATATAACAATTTATTGAAAATCATTTATACAATATTTAGGCCTATTTAATATTTTATTTATTTATTTACAATAAGTTTAATTTAAATATTGAGAGATACATCAACATTACTTCAGGAGTGCTAATACAGCTGTACATAAAGTCGCCGGTTTCGGACTGACATGTCAGCAGATACCATGCAACACTCTACAATCCCTTTACGAATAAGGTCTATGTTAGGTTAAGAACAAAAGCCAACTTGATCGACCATTCACACCGTGATCTAGGCTCCACTAAAGGTATACAAATAACCACTGATCGGTTTTATGTTGAAATTTACCCTGTTTGAAGCAGCAACAAGCAACAAGGTGGCCTATAATGAGTACAACAACACAAAGCACAACCTTATGAAAGGCGGGGGCGGCATAAACCAGACACGACCGGTTTTATAATATACATAGCAACAGCGAATGGTTATTTTATTCTTTTAAAATATATAAAATAATAAACAATAAATAGGCCAAGTGCATAGCAATAATAATAATAATAATAAATAAATAAATAAATAAAATAATAATAATAATAATAATAATAATAATAATAATAATAATAATAATAATAATAATTATAATAATAATAATAATTTATAAAGCGCCAATATCACTAAACCGAGGTAAAAATCAAAGGCGCAGTGCATGTTTAGATGTTAAAATGGATCTTTCGAGTTTGGTTTTAAAAATAGAGTGGCAGCTGAAAATATAAACGACCTGTGGCCGTATTATTATTTAATTATTATTATAATATCAATAATAACAAATAATAAATTATTGGTGTTATTATTATTTCAGATCAGACCTATACAATGTTATCGAATACTTGAAAAGGCCTGAACTATGTAGTACAGCGCGCGACGACTTTCACACACGTGCCAGAATACTACGCGACTCGACACATTTCCTATAAAGATGGCCCATTTATGCAGCATAAAATCGTGTTAATATTTTAGTCATAAAAATAAATATTAATATATTTTGTTCGTAGAGTAAGTTATTTAAACTATTAAAAGAACATAGCTTATCTACTTGAAGCATGTCTGCGCAGACTCCGAGCAGCTAACGGAAGTAAGACGTTACCGTATCTATCAAAAACAATTTTTGAAAACAATTGTTAATTACGAACTGGATTTTAATTTTTCCATGGCTTACTATGATAATTAATTCAAAAGGAAGTTCATTTCGGAACAGCGACATAGTACCATAATTGATTCAGATACGTTAATAGTCATGTATACCACAGGGGCTGATTGATCCAGCGATGTCAAAAAACAAAGGGGGGGGGGGGCGAAAGTGGGGGCCGATCGAGATAATACTACCCTAGGGGGTCCGGAGGCATGTCCCCACAAAATTGTTGTGTTCTAGACGCCCAAAAATAACCTGAGGCGTTTTGGGCGATCAATTTTTTATTCTTTCTTTACTGTACAGTGATATCCAAGATAAATAGCCCGCCAAGTTGCAACATTTACATGGTTGCCTCTACAATTTGTATTTTATATAATTTTAGGTTTTTGGGAAGAAAATTGCTTAGGGATAGACCTAACATTCAGTTGACTAATACAGACATAGGTTCCTTAATAAATGAACTTGAAATGAGCATAATTTCCCAGTCTTACTCCTCGCTCTCTCCACACCGGTAAACTCCGTTTACCATTACACATCAGTTGGTTACGCACACGTTACTAGCGCATAATATATGGATATGGATGAATTTCATCAAGCATTGAACAGGCATTTATTTGACTAGCCTGGTTTTGAATCAGGATGTGGTTACACAACTGATAGAACTTGACCTCTTCAGTTCTGTCTTTTATTACCTTTAAGGTTATGGGTAGTGCCGAAGTGAGGGAGTTTAAAAAGGCGTACGGAAAATTAATAATACGAATGACAAGGGGAGTACAACGGGAATATGAACACGTGAGGTGTACCATCCAAGTGACGCGGGAATTTTGTATCGATTTTTGTAACTTATGAAACAGCAACAAAAGCGAAGACAGTGCCCTAGTGAAAATACAAACGCCGACACTTCCAATATTTATAAAATAAAGGTAAATGAAACTGGTGGAAGAGAGGAAGTATGATCCCATCCCATCACCATATACGGCACCTTTAATACACGAAGCTCAAATTCGAGCGGAACGTGTAAGTGAAGTATTGTGTTCGTTAGACTAAAAACGGATACATCTCTTCCGATATGTAAAGAGAAAAACTTAAAGAGAATAACTTCCGATTTGTTCAGTTCATATTATGGTATGCTAGTTTATATAACGTGGAAAGGATATCCACCGGACAATCTGTATCCTAATTCAAGAATCATTAGTCTATATCTGCTGCGCATGCAATTAAAAAACTAGAACATGGCAACACCCAACACAATCACGACGACTGTATGTATGTGTAATACTAAAAAAAAAATACAGCATTTGACCTTGGCTTTACCTACAATTAAACATATCATACAGTAATTAAACTACAAATACCAGGTACTTAAAATAACAGAAAGTATACTGGTGGAATACTGGTGGATAGACAACTTAAATCTACAAGCACGCCTGCTGTGTAGGTATAGAGCAGTGGTTATTGAAGCGTTCAGCACATGCGCAATGAAATACCCCGTCGATCGATTTGATTAGACGTTCATTTTTATGACGTTTTGAAGGTTGTCGCTGATTGGACAGAAGTTAAAAAGTGGTTAAAACTTTGGCTGAACCACGGCTGAACTTGCTTTGTTGATGTTTAGGCCTACGGAATACATTGCAAAGTCTGCATAGCAACATGGAGGTTTTAAGTCACTGTGGTGGCTACATTGCAAATCAAAATTAAATACTGATTGTTTTAACCTGGAATCTAATGATATATGAAATAATATAGGTCTAGACTATAATTCAATTTTATTTTTTTACTTGTTATGAATGCGCCCAAAGTTGAAAAAAGGGAATCGAAAGTTCAGCGTATGCCAGCGTTTTAGAGAAATTTTGATACGTTTGGCATACGCTGACTAAATCGTCAAGGTGTGACAGGGCCATTGCCGCGGCAAAAACAGTACAGTGCATCACATGTTAATTGCTACAGTATCGAAGAAATCAGTGACCAAACCACTGGGTATCCCTTTTACTAATAGGGCGTACGTGCTGTGACCCCATTCGCTCCCCACCCAATATAAACTGTTCAGGAATTCAAGTAGACTAGTTGATGCAGGACCATTTTGATTTTTGACGTATGCATGTTGTCTGAATAATAATGCTAACCTATAACATGCTTGCATGCTCTATATTAGCAACGCATTGCAGAATTCATGGAGGAATACACCTCTATGCATACAATGTAACACTAACACCACCATGGTTACATCATCATTTTTACTTTGGGAATTAGACGTATCAAAAACCGAGCTATAGTAACAAAATGGCATACATAATACGTGTAGGCCCTATTGATTTCCAGCCTTTGCACTA